ATGCAGTTCACCCATTACCTCAGGTCTGGTCTATTGTTACCGGAGGCTGTGGTGGCAAACTAGGGACAAGCTTCTTTACTGGTAGACACATATATTAGAGTGGAAATAGCAAGTTTGAAAAAAAAAAAAGCTCTAAAAGCTTGCACATATGCATAAAACAGCTGTAATATAATAAATAGGTGTTGGTTGCAAGCTCCAACCATTTTTCCATATAATTTTATATATATATATTTTGCTTTGCTGTGGTAGGAGAATACATTTAATCACTGTCCACGTGTCACGAAGGGGCTTGCTGCAACTATTACTGCAAAGTTCAGTAGCTAAAGCACAGGTTTGCCTTGCCAGAGGTTCTAATCCTAAGTCAGTTTAGGCAGGCCACATTTTCATGTATGCTGTCTTCCTTGGACACGGATGAATATGCTCCTTTGAACAGCAGCAGGCTCTCTGCTGGCGCTCAAATATGCATGCTGGCAGTGGCTCCATAGAGAGTTAAAGACATGCCAGTGCCTGTTTTATAAAATGACCCCAATGGCTTGGCAATGATTGAATTCTTACCAAAACGAAAATGCTGCAAAATTCTTTCTTAATGATATTTTCTTTTCCCCAGCTCGCTTTATGCATTATTCCAGGCAAGTGCATGCCAACAGTTAACAAATACCTAGCAGTGTGCCTCGTGGCTCAGCCTCTACAGCTGTTACTTTCATAAATTAAACAAAAGTTGTGAACTTGACTTGCTTTATCTCAAACGGAGTGTTTGTTTGTTTATTGTTAATTTTATCATCCAAGACTTGTGTGCAGCAGAGCATGCGCATATGAAAAAAAGGCTGACACGGCTGAACATGAAGGTTTGGGTTTTTTTTATTCTTTTTCTGAATAGGACACACGGAACAGATGGTAAACAGGGCCACTTTGCATTTCCTGAGCTGGGTCATAACACACACAAAGAAAAGAAAAAGGAGGGGTGAAGAATCTAGAGAGCACTTTTATTGATTAGCATGAAGTTAATCGATGAAAGAATCCCAAAGGATGATATTTACCAAAGAATATCACAACGAATGTAATAACAATCAGCATTTTTCTTCATGCATTTTCTTTATTCATCACAAAATATTGTCAGCTGCTTTTTTTTTTTTTTTGCACTTTATCATCTTACCACATCAGATTAAACAGGGTAAAAAGAGAACATTTTATGGCAATGGTGCAAGAAACCTTAAAGATGTTCTCCAGTACTGTGCAAAAGTCTTCAGCCACCATTATTTCTTTATATTTTGCTTCTAAGGAGATAGACGTTGCTGCAGTTTTTTAAAGTGGTCTTGCGAATAACTGAGATAGTTCTCCAGGCTATCTGAAGATCTTTCAAAGTTTTTTCTTTGGCCATTGGCTGTTTTTTCACTCTGTTTGTTCAGTTCAGTCCAGTGCAAGTTTCAGAAGAATGTGTTTTGTTTGTTTGCTTTTCATCAAGCCACTGAACACTGACCTATGAATAATTCAAGCATAAAAAAGGCACCTAGCTCAAGGGAAGAACCAGTGTTGTATCTACAGATAGCAGACGAATTAGCAAAGAACCAAATTTAAAAGGTGTCTTTAGGCACTTTGTTACTAGCAGCCTGTTGCAAAAACTGTCAATCATGTTTCCTTTTCTTTTGCTGAATTCATGAATTATGCCCAAAATAACAGTCTGACAGGTAGAAAATAGTATTTTTGCACCAATGATGTGATTCTCAGCTGAAACCTTGGCAGATATTGGTGTATATACAGTGTGCTTTGTGTCCTTAAACAATTTGAGGAAACTGACAAAGTGGAGGACTAAATAAGTGTCAGGCCTAAAAAAAATATTGAAAGCAGATGAACAGTATGTTAAAGTCATGCTGTTAAGAAATAAGGAACAAATCCAGCAAAGACCTGACCCGAGAGATGCATCTGGCCCTTCAGTGAATCCATCTACTCTTCACTGAAATGATCTTAGCGGAAGTGTGGCTAACAAGAAGCCATTCTTAAGGAAGGGAAACAGGGGGGAAAGGTTCAGGTCTGCCATATTGCACCAGAACTGGACTGAAAATCAGTGGCAGCAGGTCTTAGTAATGATTCAGATTTGAAATTTTTGGTTCAAGTTATCTTCAGAGGTCAGGAGAAAGGTACAATGATGAGCATCTACAGCCATCTGTAAAACTGTGGAGGAGCTGTCATGGCTTAGTGCTTGATTTCAGTCAGTGTTGTTGTCGATCCAGACCAAACTGGTGGAATTATGAAAACGGAAAATATTTTGAGCCACGATGCATAATTATCTGGACAATGTCTGGCTTCTTTCAGCACGACAATGATCTCAAACATTAAAGCTCTTTGGAGCAACTGTTGTGGTGATTTGATACAGAAATACAATTGAATTGAACTGAAACACACTGGCAGTGCAGTATAACTCGGACAGAAAAACACAAAGAGGAACACAGATCATTGATCCGTGTTCCTCTGACACTGATCATTGACCCGTGTTCCTCTGGTCATTGATCGATCTCCACAGAGCCCGGACCTCAGCATTACTGAAGCAGTGTGGGATCATCTTGAGGAAATATAGAAGACAAGGCAGCCAATATCTAAAAAAGAGCTTTCAGGAAACCTGGAAAACTATTCCTGAAGAAATGAAAAGTTTCCCAAGAGAGTTCAGGTTGTGCATTCAAGCCAAATATTGACTTTCAAGATCATTAGAATTAACTCCGATTTTGCATTAAATACTGTGTTTTCATTTATGTTTGCACATCTCAATAATTCACTGCACCTATTTCTGACATTTCCTAACAAATTCTTTTAAAAAACTATGGGGCAGCTGAAGAATTTGCATAATACTGTAGGGCATTTTGTTTTGTTTTTTTGTATTGAAAATCCATTTCTCATATTTGATTCCTCACAACACAGTCTATTTCACAAAAAGTAAAGGTTCATTAACCGATTCCACAGTGGGGAATGATTATGTAGAAAGTAATTTATGCAGGAAAACAGGGGAGTGATACAAAAAGATCTAAAAATGGAAAACACTAAAATCATCTCTATCATCTCTGTGTTTTGTGTCTGGTTTTTTTTTTTTTGAGCTGTTCATGGACGTTGGTCACTTGACAGGTTTTCTTACTCCTGTAACCCTCATACTACAGTATAATCAAGTTTAACGCCCCTATTTTTATAGCTCAATTCAATTCCGACTGACGTGTTGGAATCTATTATTGTGATAATGCTTTGAGCGGCTTTGCAACAGTCAAAAGATCTTTTGTATCCATCTGTTATTGGAATAGGAGTAAGATGTGATCATTTGTGGCTGCAGCTTCTCAACAAAGGATTTATTCAAACAAATGAAAATAATGTCTTGTGTGGCTATTTTTCGCCGCTTTCATTAAACCCTCACTAGTGTGTAGACAAAGTGCAAGAAATATTAGTGTGTAGCTCGTCAGCACTAGAGGACAGAATGCACATTTATCAGCAAGCATGTCTGAATGAATTTTATGTGATACCACAGCGTGTATCTAGCTAAAAGGTAGACGGTTTTTCAACAGTTTTCCTAGAGGGTTGTGTACTACAACCCATCTTTTCTATAATTAGATAAAATCCTTTGCTTGAGATGTTACTGACGATGAGTATTTTGATGTGTTACAGCACAAATTCCCCAGCTGGTTCTCAATTTATCATTTATGAAGTTCAGCTCGCTCAGCTCTACCCGACTTTTCTGAAATTTTATTCCAGCTCTACTTTTTAATCTCAGCAGGCTCACACATGATGAAATTGTTGACAAGCACGTTAACACGCATTTCTCGTTAACAAGCTTGAAATGAGCGAGGCGGGAGAAAGCTAACATGTAGACAGCGCCGTACCTGCTGCTGCCGCCGCAGCACAACCAATTTATTTTCCTTCTTGCGGACATATTAGCTCAGTCCAGCTGTGAGGTTACTTTCTCTAATAGACAGACCAAAAAAAACTGAAAGACTTTTCTTTCTTTTTTCTTACAAACACAGTTTCTGGTTATCATTATAGACTACATAAAAATAGATGGGACCTCTGGGTTTTTATGGCTAATTTATGCTCGCCAGATTGGTCTCTTTGCACAAAAAGAGTGATGCCGCTACAGCTCCTTACCATCTATGGACCCAGTATGCTCGCCGTAACCTTTAGTGTTTTTCCATTGCCGCAAAATCGTCATATGGCAAGCGTAAACGGATGCGGGTGTGCGATTTCTGTCAGTACACAAAGCGACCAATTTGGCAGGTATAATTGGGCCCTTATATAAGTGCTGAGGGCACAAGTACTCGCCACAGTGTTCTCCTGAACAACAGGTGTCGGCCTTCAGAGAGAACCTCCACTGCAGTGCTGGTATAAGAGGGGATATCAAAACCAGAAGCAAAGAAGCCTCCCTCTGTAAAATCTGTGAATCGCCAAGCTTCTGTACTTATATATCATTAAAATGCTGCTAAAAGATTGATTTGTGTCTTGACCCTGGCTGCGGCACCTGGTTAGAAAAACCCAGAGGTACTCGAACAGCTGAAACAACACCAAAGGGTGAGCCAGCACTGATGATGACACTTTTGGCCCATGGTGCCATTCGTGGCTGTGAGAACTGTGTCTAAATGCGCTCTCATAGTGTTTGAATTCCTTAAACCTGCATCTTTCCTACTGGCCAGCAGCGAACAACTTCTCTGGTTGTGGCAAGTAGTCAGACTGTACAGCACTCCATGAGAACCCACCCACCCCCACCCAATGTACACTTGAGATACAGGCTCAGTAAACATTTGGCTACTGAGTTCTTGGTCTCTAATGCTATTTTTAAATCCTCTCCAAAGCAGCATGGTGTTCATTTTGAAAATTGTGGTCCCATTTATAGCAAAAATAGACAATAATGCTGGGTACGGTTTTGGGCACTGCTTGCATAGCGTCCTGGGGTTCAGGAGTCCCATCCAACACTTCTGCCACTTCTGGTTTCCAAAAACCATACTTGCAGTCACCAAAACACTGAACTCCCGGCTTCAAAACATTAGTCTACAGCCCATTATGGTGACTGTTATATACAGTGTTAGGCTACCGTCCACCTGATAGTGATGGAGTAGCCGACACAGATTCGTCATGAGAAGTAGGCTAACACTGTGGAGCAGATGCTGGTGTAGCGTGTCGGCCAAGCTTGCAGAACGGCTTATCGCTGCCTGGAAAAGAGGTTCCTCAGGGCATTGTTGTAGTTCTTATTAAATGCGGTGTATATAAGTGGGTTAAAGAAGGAGTTGGAGTAGCCCAGCCACAAGAAGATGCTCTTCCAGATAGGTGGGATGTCGCAGGAACACAGCGGGACGATGAGCTCGGTGATGAAGAAGGGGATCCAGCAGAGCACAAACACGCCAATCAGAATGCCTACCATCAGCGCAGCCTTCTTCTCCTTCTGCTCGCGCCACGTGTCCCCGTCTGTCTGGAAGGTCACGGTGGCGTGGCGCACGGTAAACACCATCTGGGGCTGCTGTGTCTCCTCCTTTACCTAGGAGACAGCCAATCAGGAAATAAATCACTTAACCCATTGAATTATTAATCAATCTGGGAAATCTGATTAGCTCTTAAATAAGCAAAGCAATGTCTTCTACAATGCAGGTCAGAGATAAGCAAATGTGGAAGTGAAAATGTTGAGGCTGCTCAGCAGAAGATGGATATTAGGCTGGTGGGGAAATGATGTGTGGATGAGCTGGTTGATCAACAAGCCAAAGCTTATTCTTTCATTCCACAC